AATTAAATAAACAAATTGAATAACAATATTTTTTTAATTTTAAAAGTTTTTTTTTGCTTTATGATTTAATAAATTAAACCATAATCACAAAATCGATAATTTTTGATATCAATATATTTATGATCGGCAAAAAAAAATTCAGACTGTTTAACTTTTAGATGATCTGCACCATATGAACCTTCTTTACATAATCAGCGTAAAAAGGTCTTTAACTTCCTTTGGTTCATCTTTTCATCTTATACTAGCAATTTTGGAAATTTTGTCTAGCTTGTAAATTCCTTCAATATATAACAAAACTGCGGTTTCGGTATCTCGGTATTTTCAAGATACAATGATTTTTTATTAGCGTTAATAGATCATAAAGCAACAATACTATGTTCTATTCGATCTTGAGCAAGGTTCTTGCTGAAATATTTTGAAATAACTTTGTTAACAATAGTGGAGTATTTATCAGGAAGATTTTCGTGATCAAAATCACAAAGTTGATACAGAAAATATTGCATGAAATACAACAGATTATTCAACGAGAAGAATTTTTGGGTAATTTGATAATATAAACCTGTCGACAAGCAATCTCTTTATACAGTATATGGATTAATTTCTCTTCGTAATACACCCAGAAAATTTTATTAATAATAAAAACATTTAAAGAAATAAAGAAATGTGATATCCAATCAAATTTTTATTTACTCCTTGATATTATTACCTTTCTTAAGATGTTTACAATAAATACATAAATTAATTTTAAATTAATAGTTGTATTGTTATTATATACAGTAGATAACGTTGCATTATGTTTTTTTTTTAATTTTGTTGTTCTTAAATAAATTATTACTATTGTTAAAGAGTAATAATCTAATCCTTTATTTAGATACTGTACATTCTTCATTCAATAACCACATTATTTGTGTATCAAAACAAATTATTCGTCCGCCTTATTATAATATCAATTTTTCCGTAATATCATACATACATGATAATTGTAACTACATTATCAAATCAAATTAAATCTTTCAAGAAGATTATATGATAAAAGATAATCCCGTTGTCGTACAATCAGGTATCTCAGATGAGAATTCGTTATATTAAAAAATATAATTACCTAATATAATATAACATTTTAAAGATATCCAATCATCAAAGGAAGCAGCATAACGGGCTTTTTCTGTGATTGGCTAATTACACTAATATGATTGGCCAATAACAAATCACGTGACTATTAGTTCTAATAAAAAAATTGATTTTTTAAGTCTGAAATCATTAATATTTATATGAAAATATTATGTAAAAGGGATCAAATTATCTTTAACAAGTGAAAAATATATTAAAATATTTTTTTATTAAATTATATTAATGTAAAATACATTTAGATATTTATCTAAATTACAATTCATTATTAGTTATTTGGTTTAAAAATTTAAATCAAATTATACAATAAAGTTAAAACATGAAAGAATAGTTGTACATAATCTATTATTTATTAAAAATAATCCAACCTTCTCTTTTATAAATAAAATAAGTCTTAATATATACCAATATATAATTCAAATCTCAATCTCTTTCTCTCTCTCTAAATATACATATAAAATAACATATTGCAAAGAAACCCTTATTAGCTAAGTTTTGAATTATCTTGCTTTTTATCAAATTACTTTGATAGTTTATAAAACAGAAGGTATACTTTAGAAATTTTTTTATCGCAACCCTTGTGAATTTATCCCTGTTGCTGCGAATCTATTTAAAGATAGATAATCATCTTTTTTATATGAATTTGCAAATGATCTACAAAAATCTCAACCAAATTAATTAAAATAATTAAATGTTATTGTAAACCGATTGTTCAAACCATAAATCATATAAATATCTCCTCCCTATAATTTGATAAAAAAATTAAATTTCAGACTATTCTATTTATCTAAATAATGAATTTATGTAACAATTTTACTACTGAAGAATTTCGTAAGGTTAAATTTTATAAAACTTTTTTAATGAACGCAAGCCAATCATCTGTTAAAGGTAGAGGATATGTTAATCATTTTATATATAAATTGTGTGATAAATTTTGTTGATCACATGTTGTTCCGAAAACTCAGTTTACATATCAACTCAATTGTCACGCCAGACGCGTCACATAAAAAACAGGTTTCTAAACAAGTTTACATTTCACCTATTTACACACTGTCATATAAAATTATGATACATAATTGGTATAACCTTATCGTTCAAAAAGATCCTTCCAACTACAAAAGTTATCAAAGAAAAAATAGAAGTTAGTTTGCTGTTAACTTTTCTTTCAAATTTGAAGTATTATCCCTTCATAAAGAGTTGTCAGAATTTATTATATCAAAGAACTTTTATAATGAACTTGAAAAAACTTTACAAAAAAATATAAATGTTAGTTATATGCATTTGCACACTAATACTCTTGACGAAAGTTCATAGGTTCTATTATTGTCAGGTTATGTTATATATACCTCTTTTAGTAAATATTTTTTCAAACTTTCCATTATAAGGGAAGGAGGCAAGAGTTTGATAAAGACTTTACATTCACTAATTGTAACGCTCAAGGTCAAGAAACACTAGGGTTTTATTTAATGATTAAAAATTATAATATAAAAAATATCTCGCTTGCTTTAATCTTAAGATTCAATGAACCTACAATTATAGCAATTTTACAAAATACAGTTCGTAATATTTTTCTGATTGTTTTCTTCCTTCTGCACCAATTTCAACTTCTCTTATATCAAAAGAAGAGGTATTGATTTGTAAACTTAAACGAAAAAGTTGTGAACTTGAATAGGTTTACAAAAAAGATTCAGTTGTTAGTTGAATCAAATTGAAAGAAAATGGAAAATGTCTCTCTCCAAAATCTACACAAGGTCTTATGGTAATGTATAAAGGATATAAATCAACATATTATAATGCCAACTGCAATATCAAATGTTTAAAACTAAAATTAAGCAACTCCAAGATGAAAGTTTCAATTTGAATAATGATATTAATCAAAATGAAAATTTTGAAAGAACAAGAAAGGAAGTAGATAATATCTTGGATAAAAAGAAATTGGGTCAACAATATTAATTAGTACAGAACAATACCTTTCTTTTATACTTTCGCATCCTTGTAGTTATTGCTATAATACCGATCTTTAAAATAAGTCTTATCATGTATCTTGCATAGGTTTTAATGTTACAATTGACGTGAATTGACAATTATGTGGTATAATAGATTCATATTCTAATCAATCCAAAGGCGTCAATTTTTCACATCTAGTTGTAGCAATGACTTTGGCAGGTGGTATTAATCATTATGCTATGCAAACTGTATTAGCGGTTATAAGTATTACTCCCAAAGTTGCAAGCGATCATATCATCAATATCAATCTTAAATGTTTCCTGAAATTATATTTAGGGCTGAAGAATCTGCTAGACAAGCGTTTAATGCTACTATAGCTCATGCTAATACAAAAGAAAAAAAGTTTTGACTATTAGATTTGACTGTTCTTGGTCCTACTCCTGTAATGCTAAGCAAGCTAGTGGAGAATTTATTTATTTAGATGATCTTGAAGGTAAATGTTTCATAAAATTCAATTAAAAAAAAAATCTTTTTTTTTGCGATAAATTATAATTATTAAGCATAATCTAATTTAGACTATGAATATAAGCCCATTATTATCTTTAATATCATAGAAAAATCTCACATTATCACTAAAAAAGGAAAAGATAGAAATTCTGATGAAAAGTTGTAATACAAAAGGGTAATTTTGATGCAAATTCTCATCAAATAGAACATGCTATTTTAATTGCACTTTTGGAGCAAATTATTCTAGTATTAGAAGAATCAGACCTTTTGCTTGAAGTTTGTATTGACAGAGATCTAGATTCTAATAAAACTTTAGCCAATATTCCTGTTGTATCAGAAATTTACACAGACCTAAAACATGCAAGCAAAAATATTCGAAAAAATTTATGTATATATATAGTAATTAATTGTTAATAATAAAATTTTCTTATTTTTTTATTTTGGATTTAATGGTAAAAAAACAGTATGCGCGTTATCATAACTTTGAGCAACATATAATGAGATACTTTAACAGATATGTATTTACTACTGGTTTAAAAAAAAGAATAATGAATCAGATACACCAATGAATGAAGAATTGCGTTATATTCAAGTAAAAGGTTTAATCTAGCATTTATTAGATAATCATGATCTTTGTTGAAAAGAAGTTTGTTGGTATAAGGAAAATGAAGAATTACAATTGCAATCTCCAACATTACAATCCTTTACAAAAGTAGAAATTGAAGGATTCCGACAAATGCTTTTGACAATTTTTAAACTTCCTATATAACAAAGTCTTGTTACTCATTATCGAACAGCTTATAATAAAGCATTTAACCAGAAAATCTTACAATTTGTTGATAAGCGAATTGATTATTGGACTTCTTATCAAGCATGATATGCATTAGCTATTATTAACAATAATGAAAGTCTCAATCACATGATGGAAGTTATATGTAAAGCTGCTCGATCATGTGAATTTAGTTTTCATGATCAACACAATATAAATAAATTTGTCAGAGAACATCAAAATCAATTAAATTATAACTAAAGTATTATAGATAAACATAATCAAGAACGCGCTACAAATTATGCTAATAAATGAAAAGAACTGCAAGAATTTGATTTTAGTCAGGTTAGCTAAAATCAAATGTAAGAGTTTAATTTTATCTAATATGTTTTTATATATAGGAATTAATTTTGTACAAATACAAGGCGGAGGAAAGAATATGAGCAAATACATTTTATCCTTCCTTTGCGAAATTAATTATAGATTTTGATGCAATTATCAAGTATCAGAGTTGCCTTATATTTCGTAAAAAAACTGTGGCTGGCTTATGCTCTCTTTGCTCATTTTATATTCTTATGGGGTGGCAGGAATGTTTATTAAATAAAATTATACTTATGTTAATAAGCAAAAATGTTTAGATCTGAAAGAAATGGTAACTTTAGCAGCACAAATGATTTTTGGGTATAATCAATTGCGAGAAGGACAACTTGAAGCTGTAGAGTCATATTTAAGTAGTAAAGATACATTAGTATCATTGAAAACTGAAGAAGGAAAAACGTTTTATTATGCAATTTTCGCATTGCTTTTCAAAGAAATAACAATAGTTATCAGTCTGTTAAAGGCTTTAATGGAAGATCAAAAGGTATTTTTAATTATAACTATTAAAATTGGTTTAAATTTTCAATATTTTTTTAATCTATAATTATATTTAAATAGCAGGAGTTGATACATTTTGGTATACTTTATGCGTCAATTTACGTGAATACTACACAAGAAAAAATTAAACAAAATAAAATATTTGAAGAAATTGCTCTTGGATTTATAAAAGTAATATTTTTTACATCTAAAAAGCTTTGTTTAAATAAGGAATTCCAATATTTCATTAACAATATGTATAACAAAGCAAAAGTGCATTTTGTGATTAATTATATTTTAGATTATAGTAATTTTAGGTAAATATTTGTTTTTCATGTAAAAAATTTATTACAGTAACTTACTTTTATTTTTTTTAAATAAAGAATCATGGAAGAATTTAGGATTATTAAAAAAATTGGCCTATGGTTCTGATTATGCTCTTAACTGCTACAATTACATATAAAGATGTTCAAAACATCTGTGCATTACTCGTAATACCATTTGAAAGTCTTTCTGTAATCTGGAATTCTTCATTTGAACGTAAAGAAATAGTTGTAAAAATATATATAAGAAAAGATAATCACGAAACCTTTTCAAATGACCTTTTAAATTTAATTAAAGAAGTTGAAAAAGGAAAAATTATTATTTACTGTGTAATACAATTGAGATGTGATAACTTTTTTGTGATACTAGATCCACTTTTACTAGATGACGACCTGGGTATATATCATGGAGGTTTAGGCGATGAATAACGTGAGAATATTATATCATGTTGGAAAGCTGGCAAAATTTGAATTATGATTAGAACAAATACATTTGGCATAGACATTAATTCTTCCAATATTTATCTAGTAATACATTGTGTATCTTCCTTAAGCATGAGTAATAAATATATTTTAAAAAATTGTATTTATACATATATACAGTATATTCTTTTTAACAATTTTTATATGCAGCAAATTTGGTACAGCATATCAGACAGGTAGGACATGATAGTTATAAAGCAAAAAGTGTAATATTTTATTCAGTAAAGAAAGATTTAAAAACAAATTTTGCAATTTTGGCTAAAAATCGTGAAATGTAAGTATTTGACTAATTTGAAATTATTCTTTGATACTATTGACGCTAACTGTATTTGAATATTATAAGTATTCTAATAATCAAAATATGGCTAATAATGAACATGAACGAACATGCTATCTTGATACTGGAACACACAAAATTCGTGAAGTTCTTTTATTTTATCAAAATTAATATGAATGCTGTGTTCAATTAATAAATCGTTATCATCTTTGGAATGGTGATAATATTCCTGCTCCTTGCTTAAAGTGTGATAATTGTAGAAATCGAATAAAAGAATAGCCTACTTATAGAAATTGCATTGATGATATTTTTCATTTATTAGAAATTATTGAAGAAATAAAAAATAATACTAATTGTAAAATTATTGAAGATGATATAGTAGAAGTTTTTTGTAAATCAAATACAAGAAAAATTTGAGAATAAGGGTTAACTGAATTGGAATTATATAAAAGTTGTCAAAAACTAAAATTTGGAAAACCAAAAGAAGTGGTTAGTTATATGCTTGCAGATTTGATAGTACGTGGTTATGTAAAACAGAAAATTTCACTTTACCGTTCTTCACCAAATGCACAAACTTTGTCAGCCAATATGTTTATAATAGGACTTGTAGCTGGAATAAAAGAAAAAGTTATTGCAGATTCGTAGTATTACTGGATAAATAAAAAGTAACAACATCATAATGTCGCATATGTAAAACTTAATAAAAAATTTTTTATCTTTAAATTTATTATAAAGAATAAAATAAATACATATTTTTCTATTTATTAAAATAAATTAAATGCTTTTAGTAAAAAAAAAAGATTTGATACTTAAGAAGCGTAAAATAACTGTATATTACAAAAGCTTTGAATCATGTAATGAGTCAATACCAATAAATAGGAAACCAATAGAATACTAAATTACCCATTCGCAAAAATAGTTTTCCATTTACAACTTCATACTAAAGTTTTTCAAAAAGTTTTTAAATAATAAAGTTTTTTAAGGTTGTAAAATGTTGCTCGAGTTCATGGCTTTCTAAATATATAAATTTTATCCCTTTACGTTAAGTATTACAAAACTTTATGTTACGCAGAAAATTAATATTACTATTTGCCATATCGATAATATGAAATTACCACGTGATTTTCTATACCTTTAAATCAACATAATTTTTTTATTTTGTAGATAAATTAACGTTAATGGAAATATTAGCATTTATGGGTGGAATTTTAGTATTTCTTAATATATGTATAACTTTTCATTTAAAATATTTCTTAATAATAGCAAATTCTAACTTGTTTATTTTTAATTAGGGAAGAAATATAATAACACTTATAGTTCTACTTAAAGTATTAGATTTTGCATTGGATGTGGCATTCTTAATGAATACTATAAGTACTGCTCCTGGCTTATTTTTTCTAAAGTATTAATCAATTTAAGAAACTATCATATATGACGCTTCAACCTACTCGAATGATCGACTATTAAAAGATCTACATTTCTAATATCATTTTAGAATCATGACGTTAGCAGTACCAGCAGTACTTAATCTATCATTTGTATTTGGAGTAATGGTGTAACTAACTTAACAAATGAATTAAAGGAATTTTAGGGATTGGCTAAGAAAACATATTATTATGACAACAATAATTACAATATTGTCTATGGTCAACTTAATAATTATGAAATTATTTGTAGATATCACTATATTCAATTCTAAAGCAAGAAAATTGCTATTCAAAGCTGGTATATTCAATATTTTTAAATATATGTTTCAATTAGTTATTCTTGTAAGTGAATATAATAATAATATGGGAATGTAAGAAATTCAAAAATTAATTTATTTTTCTCTCTTTGAATTAGATATTATTTATCAAGAATGCAGGAATAAATATGTTATTATTATTGATACTTTTTACTAGGTTTACAAGTTTATTATTCAATATAATCTATGAAATTTACAGTCTAATATCATTTGATTCAGAAGTTTCTCACATCCTTTAGAACTTTCAAAAAAGTAAAACTTAGTCTAGAGCAGTAATCAGCATAATTTTATTTTTTGTTTAAAGATACAACATATAAAATGGAATATTTATGATGCAATCAAGTATTTTTAATATTGCAGAAGTATTAGAATAGATTTTACATTTTTAGCGATAGATAAATCTCTCTATCTCACTCTATTTGTTTTCTGATTATAGTACAGATACAGTGTCCCTATTCTATAGAAACACATTGAGCTAAAGGGAATAACTAGAGGTATGGCTATAATGTTAAGAATTATTTTCAATTGAAAAATTTTGTAAAAATAATGTATAGAAAGAATAAACTAGCTTATGTCTAGAAATTACTTGTTACTATTCACTTTCAGATAAAAAAATAAAAAGTATTGCGAATACATTTTCAAATATAATTTATTTAGATTTTAAAAATAGTATAGGTTTTGATGATAGAGCACTATTTGTAATAGCAGAATTATATCCTAATTTAAGATATCTCAATTTGTGAGATGCTCAAGTAATAACTGATAAAGGGTTATATGTAATTGTAGAATCATTCTGTAAATTAGAACATCTAAATATTTCTTACTGCAGAAATATTACCAATAAATCTTCGTTTAAAATTGCAGAAAATTGTCATGATATACAAGTATTTCATTTTGCCGAAGTATATCAGATCACAGATAAATCTATAAGTTGCATCTTAAACTTATACTCAAATTTACGAAAACTTGATATTGTATATAGTAAGAGAGATATAAAAGATGCTAATACTTTAATATTACAGGTCAAATGATGATCATTCAGGATACATGCTGATTTACTACTTTTTAGTTATCTGATAATAATTAGTTACAATTAGCACGTATTACAAATTGGCAACCAATCAGTTTTTTTACTGAATGATATAAAATTATTCCTGAATGATATCAAATGCTTTGATCAAGTAACCCAATTTATTATTTTTAGGTATTTCTTTATTATTACGGTAAATATTATTTATTACATATGAAAATGTCTATTAATTAGAATAACTGTCATGTAATTGATGGGGTTTCTTACTCCTATGGTAAAATTACTGAGGATAAATCTGCAATAAATATTATGAACTGGTATTATACAATCTTTACTATTTTTAGTGATCCTGTAAAAAGTTTTTTTTCACAGTTTAACATTATAGTTACAATCATTATTAGTTTCAATTCAGAAATAAAATCTTGTTTGTTGTCTCTGAACTGGTAAATGCCATTTAACAAAAACCAAATGATGGGTTTTTGCACTATCTGAAAGATTAATTTTATGTTCAAAATAATATTGGGTCTGTCTTGCAAATGTATCCATAATATTATTATTTTGAACAAATTTTGCCAAAATATGTGAATTCTTTGCGTATCAGGACGCTAAAGTTGACCCAAAAATTTTAGCACCAATACAGATACAGCCAAATTGGTTTATATTAGGCAAAATAACAATTGGTTGAATTGATTTCCTATTTATTCCACTTCTAGCCAAATCAGCAACTGAGCTAAAAATAAACTATTTTATAAAAGTTATTGTAACCATGGCATAGCTGGCTTATTCTGAATTATTTGCTATTAAAAGTGCTATCTCTGTATATTTGCTATCTATAATTCTGTTATTCTTGCCTGTATTTCTGTTTTCTATTCCTGTCTTTCAATATTCCATCTTTTATATCTCGTCTTTATATTCTAAATATAGTTAATTACAAGTATTTAGCTAATTATATCATTTGCATATTCTAACTATATTTATCTACTGTGTCTAATCATATGATTTACTATGCCTTAATCAATATATTATCTTATATAATTGCTATTTTATCATCTAATAAATCACTTTCTCAATAATTATAATCTAATAAATTATTATTTGATTAATTAGTCCTGTAACATTTCTTTCTCCTTAAGATTAATTGTCTTAATTAAATATAAATTAAAGATGTCTTATCTCTTTTATCATAATATTTCTTAAGATTTTTCATATTACAAGTGCTTTAAATATCTTGCCTTTCACAGTTTGTATTTTATATGCTTTTTTTTCAAATACTTTATAAATATAATATGGTCCTTTCCAATTTTGAGTTAATTTCTTTGACCATTATTTTTTTTGCTAAGTCTTTTATTAGGATTTTATCTTCAATTTTGAATATTATTTTCTATTTTATACTTCCATCATATTTCTGTTTCTGTTTTTCTTAAGACTTTTTGATATTTGTTAAAGTTTTCATGATTCTTTCAGTTAATTATATAATTTTAAAGACTTTTTTTCATAAACTATTTTCTTCATTTATTTCTCCTTCAATTCCATTTTCCTGTATTTCATTAATTGATAATATTGCCTATCTTCTGTAAGTTAAATTAAATGGTATCTTTCTTGTTGTATTATTTTTATTAGTTTGATATACAAATAATACTAGTTTTCATTGATTTTCTTCTTTTGATACCTTTGCTAAATATTCACATAATATTCTATTGAATCTTTCAACTAATCCGTTTGTTTGTAAATGATATAGTAAAGATAAATTATGTTTTATTTCAAATCTTTTGTATAATCCTTCAATTATTTCATTTCTAAAATATGATCTTCTATCTGATAAAATAATTTTTAGATATCTATACCTACATATTATTTCTTTATAAATAAATTCTTTCATATTTTTAGCAATTGCT